GGGGCGGCTTCGCCGGCCGCGCCGACAAGGTGGAGATGAAGACGTGGAAGTCCACGGAGCACAACATGGGCATGGCCTTCGGCAGAGACACCTACCAGAATCTCATCGAGTGCACGGACGCCTTCTGCACCTACGATGACTACAACTGGGACTGGACTCTGCAGCACTTGACTGTCTCTTGTCTTCCAAAGTTCTGGAAAGTGCTGGTTCCCGAAATCCCCAGGATTTTTCACACGGGGGACTGTGGCATGCACCACAAGAAATCCTGCAGACCGTCCACCCAGAGTGCCAAAATCGACTCTCTCTTGAACAGCAACCAACAGTACCTGTTTCCCGAGGCGATGAGTGTCAGTAAAAGGTACTCCATGGCTCCCCTGTCCCCTCACGTCAAGAACGGAGGGTGGGGAGACATCAGGGACCACGAACTCTGTAAGAGCTACCGCAGACTCCAGTGAGGACCCTCCTCGCAGCGCCTTTTCTCCTTGACTTGTCCCATTGTGTCCTTTCCAGGCACACACACGTGTATAAACAGCATTTATGAGTTGGTTTCTGCTTTAATATGAATAAACATTCTTGTTAAAGGTGTCCCAAAATAGTAATCTCTCATGTTTGGCAACCACGTTTTGGAAACGGGTGACGTGCTGCAGCCCCTACGCAAAAAGTGACCTGCTGCTGTGTTTGCTGGGAGGAGGAGGAGGAGGAGGAGGAGGAGGAGGAGAACACTTTTAAGTGCATCTTTTTTGGTGCTTCAAAGCTCTGGTGGTGCCTGGGGTCCCACCCGGGGTCATCTCACGCCCGATCCCCGAGTCCCGGTTCGGTTGCGCCGTGTCGATGAATATATGAAGGATATGAAATGAAAATAAATCTCATTGTTTTTACTACGATGTAGATAAATATATGATTTTTTTAGTTCTGCCGAAATAAAAAAAAATGCCGTTGTTTTGTAAGCCTAGAGAAGTTGTTGATTGTCAGCAAAAAGATGATGTCACCTCGTGTTCCTGAAAAGCCAGGGTGGGAAGGAGGGGGGAGTTTCTCTTCTTTAATCCCAGGGGCTGGACACGTGCCATCACTCCTTCCAGCAGTGTGCATTTAACTTCATTAAGTTTTTAATGATACTCATTAATTGTGGCAGAAAAGAGTAGCAAATTGGTGGACAACACCTCTTTTGTTTGGATTTTTTTTTTAAAAAAAGTTGTTTCAAACGATCTGTGTGAAAAATGAAAACTGCTGCAGTGTGGTGGGAAGGGGCTGAGCTGGGGCCGCCGAGCCATCTGTGAACGCTCCAGCAGCTTCAGCGCCACTCCTGTGAACTCAGCTGTGGCAGAAGCACCTCAGCAGCTTTTGTGGAACACAGAAATATGTCAGAGAAGGAAAATGCTGGTCTTTTCTTTGTCCAGGGGTTATTTAACCACAGTTGTGCGAGGTAACTGCTCCGTGTTCTGTTCTGCTGGGTCAGGCTGGAGCTGTGCTGGTGCCTCACCCTCTCCCAAAAACTGAGGGGTTCAGCTGAGCCCAGCAAGGCAGGGAGGGCAGGACACGTGTCTGAAAACTCTGAAACCACATGGCCAGGCTGAAATGTGACAGAGGCAAAATTAACTCTCCTCTAAAGCACCTCTCAAACAAAAGCAGAAGTTGGTTCAGCAGCAGAGAGAAAGGGGAACAGGAAGTTTATTATTAGATGTGTTCTCCTGGTTATTCTGCTTTAGGGAGGTGAGAAACGCTGACACTCGAGGGAAACTGAGAAAAATAAATCTAATCTGGCTAAAGAGAATCCATTTCAGCAGTTGTAAATACTTCAGAGCAGACATGCACCCAGAGGATGTTCTTGTGCAATGGAATTTGTTCAGCTGGGGGATATCTGGGTGCTGCAGATCTGAGGCTCAGCACTAGGATGGAATACAGGGTATAAATGTTGATTATTTCTAGGAGACTAATTAGAACTTCTCCGGGTAATTAGAAATTTCATTTGATTGCTAAGAATCACTGTGAGTCTAATCCTGCAGTTATCACAAAATGAAAGGTTTGGAAAATGATGACTACTGCTCAATTCCCGAGGGAGCCATTAGGCTGAGGATATATACAAATAATCCGTGAAACGTGCGAAGAGAATAAAAAATTTATGTAAACAATAAAGATACATTTTTTTTTTCCAGGAGCTCACCTCCAACTGCAACTTTTCTTACAAGTAAAAATTATTGCAACAAATTGGGGAATTGATAAACTGTTAACAATGGGAAGTTTTGGTGTTGCAACAGTTTCAGTGGGAACCCACGGCCTCCGTGTCACCCACCAGTACGTGGGAGTCAGAACAAGCATCAAACAGGAGAAAGAAATGCTAAAACAATGAAAATAATCCAGCTGACAGAGCAGGGAGCAGCGTGTGGTGATCATGGAGGATGCGCTCACTGCCGTCCTGGGGGTTCACCTCTCTCAGGATGGGGGACCCTGCCCAATCTCCATCCCCATGGGAGTCAGAACAAGCATCAAACAAGAGAAGGAAATGCTAAAACAATGAAATCAATCCGGCTGATAAAGCAGGGAGCTGTGGAAGTGCACAAGGCGGTGACAAAAATGGTTTGTCAAGCAGGATGTGCTCACTGCCGTCCTGGGGGTTCACCTCTCTCAGGATGGGGGATCCTGCTCCCTGCCCATCCCCATGGGAGTCAGAACAAGCATCAAAAAAGGAAGGAAGTTCTAAAACAATGAAATCAGTCCAGCTGACAGAGCAGGGAGCTGTGGAAGTGCAGGGGGCAGTGCGTGTGCTGATCGCACAGGACGCGCTCGCTGCCCTTCTCAGGGCTCACCTCCCTCAGGATGGGGCACTCTGCCCCGTCCCCGTCCCCCTGCCGCTCTCCTGCCCCTGCTCCCGGGGCTGTGGCCGCTCCTCCTGCTGCAGCAGCACTTTCTAAATCGGGCTGGGCTCCCGCAGACCCGCCGGGAAGGGCTGAGCTGGAGGCAGGAGGTTCAGGCTGCGAACAATGGGGTGAAGCACAGCCGGCTGCCGCTCCCATTGTTCCCGGGCCCGCAGCACCTCCCTCGGCTGCAGGACACTTTGTTTCTGCCTTTGTTTCGGGGCAGTTGCTCTCGGTCTGTCCGGCCAGGGCTCCCTCTGAGCTGCCAAGAGTTCCTTGTCCATCACGTTCCTGTGGCTGTCAAGGAAATAAATGAACTATTTCATAGCTGGAACAAACTGTGCACACAAAGACAGGACAGATTTGTTTCTCCAAGAGCTCAGCTCCACTGGGACAGTGGGAAGTGTCCCTTTGGAAGCAGATGATGCTTAAGGTTCCAAATCGGGCTGAGATTCCATGATTCTCCTTCCAGAAGCCCAGTGAGTGAGTGCTGAGGTTTTCCTGCTCTGTGTGTGGGAATGAGGGGCAGGGAGTTGTTCTGTTCCCCAGGGTTTCCTGCTTTCCACTCCCCACACCCAGCCTGATCCCTGATCCCAAATCCCCAAATCCCAGCGGCCACAAATCAGCCAGGGGATCTCAACTCTTGCTGCAAGGTTGGAGCCTTGCAATGAGAGAAATTCCTGGCCTGGGGGCTAATTTGGGAATTGCAGTTTGCCTCGGGAGAGGAGGAACTGGGAAAGGTGCTGTCCAACCATTTCCCCATTCCTGGGAGTTTTGGCAAAAAACTGCTGGGAATTCACAGGTGCTGTCAGTGGAGAGTCAGGACAGGGATCCATCCAAGAGCAGCTGGTTCATGGATCCAGAGACTGAGTCCCTTTCTCACACCCCCAAACCACAGGAAATTTGGGAAACACCAGGGAGTCCTTTCCAAACTGGACAGTTCTCCCACAGGAACGGGATCATGAGCTCAAGGGACCACCAGCTCTGTGTTGGGGTTTGTATCAATGGGATGGGACTGCTAGGATGTGGTTTTTGAGTTCTACTGTGTATTTATTTTATTTTTATTTTATTTTCATTTTATTTCATTTATTTTATTTCATTTCAGTCTTATGATATGGCTGAGATAATTGTTTACAATGAGTTTACGTCTTGTTAGTAATAGTAGTAGTAGTAGTAGTTAAAGATTTTTCTGTTACAGAACATTTTAAAATGTTAAAATTAGCCAGTAACATACTAAACATTTTTTCTACAATCTTAAAATCTACCTTAACCAAATCTAAAACTCAAACTATTACTTCATATCCTTACTTACTACACTATTGTAACTTTTCTACTCTCAAACTTTACAACTAACTCTAAATTTTTCCTCTTTCTATTTTTAAAACCTGCTTTCACAACTTTCTAAAAACCTCCTTACCTTTACTCTGTTTCCCACAAACTCCACTCCTGGCCCCACACAGGAGCAGGACTGGGATGATTTAAGAGGTCCCAAAGGGACTCATCTGCTCTCCAGCATTTAGAATTCCATGTTTTGTGTCCAGCCCAGAGCAGCTGTGAAAGCTGAGCTGGATCAGTGTCTTTGGGAAGCTGCTCAGGCTCCAGCCCAGTTCCAGAGGTCAGGAGCTTCCTCTGAACTTGCCTCCCAACAACCCAGTTACACATTAACCCCAGCCCAGGGCCACAGCAGGGACCTGCTTCTTCCTGCTTTTCATCCTCCCTTTAGGAAGAGTTCCATCTGAATTTTGGATGCAGTGCCTACCCAGAAATCCCAGGGAACGTGGGGGGTTTGCCTCCTCACATTTTCCTCCTCACGAAATGAACGTTTGAATTTCTTATCTGCCCATCCATTTTGCCAAGGGAGGACAATTTAATCCCTGTTCTAGGCAGAGGAGGGAGAGCCTGAATGAGGCCTCAGACTACAAGGATTGAATTTGAGACCAGTGTTTAAGATTAATAGCCTCATGTTTAATTATCTACACAACAGGAACCCACCAAGTATTCCAACACATGGACTGAATAAAGATGAGGCAGGATTCTTCCCAGACAAAACCCTCCAGGATTTCTCTACCTGTACAAGGCTGAGTGGGTGAGCTATTCCTGCAAGGAAAAATCACTTTTTTAAATGTCTGGATCACAGTTCTGCACCTTCCAAATGAAACAGAGGAGGTTTCAATCCTTTGGTGACGTGAAATGGCACGAACACAAGTTTTACTTCTGAAAACTGACATTTACACTTGCAAACAACCCCAGGCCTGGGCTTTCCCTGCTGCCCCAGCACAAAACAGGAACCAAGCTGTCTCAGTGGGATTTGATAGGATCTTGCAGAGGAACATAAATCAGCCTGTGCTGCTCCTGGGGCCTTACCTCCACCCTGATTTGAATTCTGTCCTCAGTAACATCCAGCACTTCAATTAATGGCTGCCTTTCCAGGGCTGATTGGGAGCAAGGGGAAGGGCACAAAGCAGTGCCTAGAAATCCATCAACGCTCTCCTCACTGACAAACAATCTCTCCTAAAGAAAAAAAGAGAGAAAACAGCAGGTTATGTTCCTTTTGTGATAAATTTCAGGGGTATTTGGGGCTAAAAACTCCCTGCAAACAAAGCCAGGACAGTAATTCCCAAGTTTCACAGCACACTCAAGTCTTGACAGAGAAATTCTGCGCCAGACATTCAAAGAATGAGGTGAAATTAATTAAAACCAGCGCTTTGCTAATTTTGCTTGAAAGCACAAATCTGCATGGTATCAAATATAAAGGAAATATTATTTCTGTCTCTGGATGGGTGACTCTCTGTGAGAAATGCT